TCACTGGAATGTGAGCCAGGGCCAAGAAATTTGATAAAATTCTCTTTCTACAGAGGGAAAAGAGTCACAGCTTCCTCTGACTGAGGAGTGCTGCCCAAAACCCAGGTCACATCCTCTGCTCTCCCGTAGTGGTTTAAACAGTGCTTTACAGTCCTGGATTCTTCTCAGGTTAGAGGGCTTCCTTATGGAATAGCCCATTGGAGGATGAAGCTGCATGTCTTGCTGACACAGAGATCTGTATGGCCAACATTCAAGAAAAATATCCCCTTAGTGGAAGGCGCAGGAGCCTGTCTTTAATAGTGTGACATGACGTGCGCAGAAGCGAGTGCTCTGTGCTGAAAAAATAAAAGTGTCAACACCTATTGGGCCCGGGGTTAAGCACTTCACGTGCATTTCATCTTCCCAACAACCCTGTGAGGTTGGTTCTATTGTTATCCCCATTTTGCAGATGGGAAAAGTGAGACCCTGAGGGGTTTGGTAGCTCAAGTCTCACAGCTGAGAAAGGGGAGTGCCAGGATTTGAACTCTGGCTGTCTGGCTTGGAAGGCACACACTTAACTACAGCTCTCTACTGTCCATAGAGCAGGACTTAGGGCAAGAGGGCAGGAATTATCAACGATGAGGCGGGCTAACAAAGAGAAATGAAGCATAGACTCTGCTCTGTGGAGCTCCCGGCCTAATGAAGGAGACACAGAAACTAACAATCACAGCACAGTCACAGAGGGAGACCAGGCGGGGACCCTGAAAGCCCCAGGAAAAGGGAGAAGGTGTCCGAGAAGAGGTGATGTAGACGTGTTATAGATGCCACCTTGACTTGAAAGGAGAAATGCAAGACTCACAGGGCACCGAGCTTGAAGCACTAAAGAAAGAACAGTGCCCAGGTACAGGTGAAATAAAAAGCCAAGGGATGCTGCAGAAAGTAAGTCGGCATCCTGGTGCCTCTGCTGACCTCATGAAGCAGGGAAAAAAGGCCCAAATGAAAGAAATAGAAACTGCTCACTTGGTTGGTGGCAGAAAAAAGGATGTGTGTTCACAGAGCATGCAGAATCCCCCTGTATCAGGGATTCCTGCCCTCCCTTTCCAAGCTGAAGAAGGAAATCTCTCTCCAGGGAAGCCAGGGCCTGTTTCAGCAGCCATATGGCTCTGACTTTCCTTGGAGAAGGAGGGGAGAGAGAGGCCAGAATGCTTGCCTGGACTTAGACTTCTGACCTCAGCTTGGCCTTGACATTGCTCGACCTTGGCCAAGTTGCTTCTCTGGCTGGAGACCAGAGAGTTCTTCACCTGCCTTTACCTGGGAACAGTAAGTCAGGCGGACTTTGAGGTCCTCCGTGAAGAAAGCCAGCAGGAGAACCAAGGCATCCAGACCAAAACAGATCAAAGTGGGAGAAGGGTCCTGTGGAGATGCTAATTGACTAGCTAAAGGGGAAGACTGAGCCCTCCAGCGGCATGACCAAAGTGGGAGAGAATCCATTTCTCTGGCCCCACCAGACGGCACAGGAACTCTCTAGCTGCTGGCAAATTGAGCCATACTCCTGTCTCTATGTTCTCACCTCCGAACTGGAGCAGGAGAAGTGATTTGGGGAGTTGAAGGCACACAGCCCCTTCAGGCCCTTAGTGAACGGACGGGCGCATCAGCTGTAGGGGCTTGGAGGGGACACTTTTCGGAGCACATCAGCTGACTCTAGCTTCAGAGCTTGCAACACAGTTGCCATTTTCGCTTTGTGAAATGATTCCCCTCTCTCCAGCTCCACAGTGCCTTCCACTTTGCAAGCATACAAGTTGCACAGAAGCCTGAAAATGCTGATGGCTTAACTGGTTTAATTTTTTTTTTTTCCCAGCAGCCCTGAGGGGTTTTAACTCTTTCCTCCTGCAGAAACCTTGCTTTTGGAGTTGAATGTTGAAACTCTCACTGGGAGACTCATAAATATTCGGAGTCACTCTCTCCCTCTCTGTTTGATTAGGAAATGAGCCTTTAACTCAATGTAATCCCCAAGCCATTAACAAAAAAGCCCTCCACCGCTCCACTATTAGAATTTCACTCTTAACCCGCTGAGGATTGAATTAGATTAACATAACTACCCACAATCTGAGTTTATTTTCTGTGCCAGATAGAAATGTGTTTTCAAGAAAGGCGAAAAGGGGGAGGGAAAGCAGGAGGGAGAGAAAGAGCGGGAGGATAATGAAATGTAAAAATAGAGATAAGAAAAAGATGGACAGATATACTATAGAAGTGAAGTGATAGGTCTTTGGTTTTAAAATCCTGCCAGCTGCCATTTTAATTGATGGGGTATTTGGAGAGGCCTCAACTATGTAAAATCGTTTGAATTAGGGGAGCACTTTCCAGGTATTCGCGATTCCCTCTTCCTGCACCTGAGCCTGCTGCATTCCAAAGCACCTGCTCATTGCCCCCACTGTCCCCAATTTGGGAGGAGGTCAGGACTGGATTCCTATGTGTTCAAGGGCGGTGGGGGGGACCCATAAAACAATGGTGCATGCACACAGGAAACTGCTTGTTTACATTCAGAGAAATAAACAATGACAAGGATGGAATGGGTTAGATTTTGCAGACATGAAGTCACAGACAGCTCCGTAACCAATTGCATTTAAGAAATCAGTTTGAAAAAAAATGAGTTTGATGGGAGCTCAAACCACATAAAATTAATCATTATTGAAGCAGAAACTAAATAATCAGAGGCTGTCTCATGCAAATACACTGAAGTTTCCCTGAACCGCATCACTGTAACTAAGCCCAATGGGCCAAATCACATCCTGACTTGAGGATGAAAGCCAGGCCCTCTATCACACTGTCAGGCAAACCCCTGTCTCACCTGAAAGGATCTACATGTAGGCCAGGGAAGAGGCAGTTTTTAGCTAAATGTCTCAACAAAATATTCTTCTCTCTGACCATGAAGGCTCTGAGAACGCAGAACTTGTTCAGGAATACAGGACTCTCTCCCACTGCATTTAATCCTGACACACTGGGCCTGCACAGTGGGCCAGGCAGGCTCCAGCGTGTGGGCTGGGGAGGGGAGGGAGAATTTGCTCTTGTACTAAAAGGCTTTTGTAAAAGCCACACTTTCTCTCAAAAGCCATCGAGATCTGAAAGTCCTAGAAGTTTGGCTTTGCCAACAGCGAACTTCTCTGATTTCTGAATGCAATGTCTCAATCACTTCATTCACTTGAGCTTTAATTAACAATAACCCACCAAATCCCACTTCAGCATTATGGTGAAAAAACCTTAGCAGGATATATTTACCAAAATAGAGGCCCTTGTAACAGGAAGAATAATAATGCTGTATGGATAATACACTTTAACACCTAGTTGGTGTTTGTCACCCTCTGGACTTCTTAGACTTCACCGTCTGTACTAGGTCTTAAATAGTGACATTTACCCCCTTGTACACCAAACTCCTTGTTCTGACTTTCTCCACTACTGAATGCGGTCTTACTGGCTGAACATGGGACGTTTACCTTCTAATTTCTCATTGCTTCCTGATCCACTCTCCCATCCAAAATAATGGATGAATGGATTAAAGATATTAATAACCCTAAACAAAATGCAGCTGAAAACATGGAACCAGAAAAAGGAAAGTTAAGGTTTCAGAAAGGTTACAATCAAAATGATATCAAATTGCTTCTCTAAACATATGTGTATATATCCACATTTATTTAACTTTCATCAAGTTAGATTTGCTGGTAAAACTATTTTGTTTGTAATCAATCAAAAACAATACAGGCATCTCTGCTTTGTCTAATGCTTTTAAATTGTTGGAAAGATTGTTTCTTTGTAGGATATTGTTCTCCCAAAGAAATCAAGGAGTCCTCAGCCATATAGCATATGGTATCCATTGTATAAATAGAAACTGATGGTAAAAAAAAAAAAAGGTACATTTAAAAAGTTGTACTTAAGTATACATTAGGCATCATTACTTTTTTTGTTTTTCCAAAATGTAGGGCTACTTTTCCTTTGTAAATTCTATAAAGCAAATCTTCCCAAGTACAGGATTTCGGATGAATACTATTCAATATTCAGAAACTAAAGTCCCAAACGTCGCACGGGAAGCTCGTGGCAGGTAAACCCTGTGGACACCGGACTATGGCTGGGGAGGCCCCATCTGGAGCCGCCCGAGGTGCACTCAGAGCCTGCACACTATTCGAATTGTCTGAAACAAGCACAGCTTTGACAAGCCTCGCGATATTAAGTTTCTTCCTTTGCGAAGGATGCAGAGCAAAGCAGTCAACAGCCCTCCTTCCACACCTGGCTTTGGCCTGGGACTCTTCTGCCCAGCCCCCAGCAAAGTTCCCTTTCAAGATTAAGAAAATATACCAAATGAGGGAGCCAATGACAGCCGGGAGGGCAGGACAAACCCTCAGCTCTCGTCTTGACTTCTCCAAGCAAACTTGCTCCGTGGAGGGGAGGGGGAAAGTCATTTTCTTTAAGGTGCTATGGAAAACTGGTCATTGGGACTGTGGGGGCTCTCCCTGAACCTGCAGGTTCCCACATTGAAACCAAATCTTCCAGGAGCCCCCATCATTACCTGTCCTGTGGGCACTGGGTCTTCCTGGGTAACCTTCCCCAACTCGCCCTCCACCGGAGCTGCCAGCAAATAAAAGTTTTCACGCTGGGCGACATCTCTACCCTGCTGAGCCGCATGTAAACTTCCCTTGCCCTTCTGATGTACTTACTTTTTTTTCTCAGTGAAAACAAACAAAAATCAAAGGGAAGTCACTGCTTCCAAATGAGTTTGTGTCACCGTCCCACCTAGCCATTCGGAGACCCTCTGACCTTCCCGTGACAGTCTGAGAAAGGTAAGGTTTTCCTCTCGGCCACACAGGGATGCTTTAGAGTGCGGAAAACCAGGATGAAAGAACAGGCATGGGGAGATATTTTTATCCATTGAGAGAGAGAGAGAGAGAGAGAGAGAGAGAGAGAGAGAGAAAGGGGACAGAAAAGGACCTGCAGAGTCTGGGGAGGAGAAAGGGAGAAGTTGGCTTACTCACATGCTTGGGGCTGGTGTGGAGGACGGGGCTGGGGTGGAATGTGCGGCCCCCTCAGGTGCTTTTGGTTGCTGATAACTCGTTGCTCCGCTCCTCCGGTACCAGCTGACAGTCCCCTGTCTGTGTCTCTTTGTGACTAAGGACACAGTACTCCCAACCTATAAATAGATCCCGACTCCGTGATTGATATAACAGGCAGCTGACAAAAAAAAAAAAAATCTCACAACCATAACCAGGTCTTAAACAAAACAGCAAAAGGCTCTAGACTTTCAACTCCACCGAGCCCCACGCAGACTCCACAGCCACTGGTGGATGCAGGAAAGTGTGGAAGAAAAATATACCATGAAGGGGAGGAGGAACTGGGGGAGGGCAAGGGAAAAGGGGGGATGTGGAAGACAATGACTTCTCTAGTGGTGTGTGGCAGTCACTTGGGGTCACAGGAGAGCTGGTGACTGATGGTGGGCAGAAAGCAAGGGGAGGAGCCAGGGCAGGAGGTCCTGACCTGGAGCAGGAGAGCCACCCCCTCTCTGGATCCTGAGCCCGTGGCCCTGTCAGGGCCCGAGTCAAAGTCCTGACTTGGGAGCATTCGTCAGCTCAAGTGCTTTCCACGAAAGTTTCCATTCCTCCTGCCAAATTAGGAGGTAGGGAGAGAACTCAGTTTTCCCGGCTCAGGGGCCAGGCAGGCGTCTTGGGGGCCATGCAGAAGGCTCCTGGAGGGTGAGAGAGAAAGTGCAGGTGCCTGGTGAGGCCAGGTCTTTGAAGAGGCCAAGACATGGTGTTCCCAACAGAAGAACGGCCTGAAGTTGAAAGGCCTTGGGGGTGTGAGTGTCTCTGCTTTTTCCAGAAAGATTTCTTAGGACATCAAGTCGTCTGAAAAGGTTTCCTTTTTGGAGAACAAGCCTCGCTCTTTGGGGTACTGGATGGTCTCTAAGAGGCACTGCCTGTCCCAGTTTCTACAAAGTTGGGGCAGCCTCTCTGGGATAGGCCAGCCCAGCTCTGAAAGCTGAGCCAAGGGGCTGTTTCTGGAAGATGGAAGAATCTTGGTGAAACGGCACAAGTATGGGCTGTTCAACAATTAACCAGGTGAGCATGCATTAGCCCAGGGGGCTTCCCATCTGCCAGTTGGAGACCCACTTGCTTTGACTACACAGGGTCATCTGTCTTGATTTTCTGGATTTCCTGTGCATGCTAAATGAGGCAGAATTTCAGGTGAGTTTCCCCTTCAAGAAGGGTCACAGGACGAGCCCCTTGCTGGTGTGGATGAGGGACAGGTATTTCATAATCCCTAAAACTTCCTGATCCCCAATTTTTAAAAGAAATGAAGTTGAACCTCTTCTTCATGTTAGATCTAATCCTTTACTCTCCAGGTTATCACAAACTACAAGGATGGGGTGGTATCTAAGCTGTTGAAGTCGAAAACCTATTTAATGTGTAGAGCCTCCAATCTTTACCCCAGTAGCCTGCCACTGGAATATGAGCTCCAAGAAGGTAAAGATTATGTGTTTGTCTCATTCATCATCACATCCCCATGATACTTGATCCATAATAAGACTCTACTGAGTATGGATTGATTGACTGACTAATTGAATGAATGAGTGATTCTTAAGATACTATCATTTGGCCGGGCGCGGTGGCTCAAGCCTGTAATCCCAGCACTTTGGGAGGCCGAGACGGGTGGATCACGAGGTCAGGAGATCGAGACCATCCTGGCTAACACGGTGAAACCCCGTCTCTACTAAATATTACAAAAAACTAGCCGGGCGAGGTGGCGGGTGCCTGTAGTCCCAGCTACTCGGGAGGCTGAGGCAGGAGAATGGCATGAACCCGGGAGGCGGAGCTTGCAGTGAGCTGAGATCCGGCCACTGCACTCCAGCCTGGGTGACAGAGCAAGACTCCGTCTCAAAAAAAAAATAAAATAAAATAAAAAATAAGATACTGTCTAGAAATGTCTGTAGCATAAGAGGGTCCCTAGGAAGGCCCAGAACTGGGAGTGAGACTTCAGGCAGATATAGTCAAACTGCTGTATTTTCACTCGCAGTTTTATCTGAGAACCACTGCCCTTCTGAGTACCAGGCCAATGATGCCAGTGGTCAGCCACTAAGCACTCCTCTCTGATCAGGCCTGGCCACACACAGGGTTCTCTGCAAGTTTAGTTGCTGGAAAAGCAGGTAACCCTGCAGAGACAGGGCTCTAGAGAGGCTCCCATTCTGATGACTGGGGCTATAGCCACTTAGACACACATTCACCACCAGCCTCCTTCCCAGGGAAAAGCCTTTCTCTTCTAATGCAAACTGAGGACTTCCCTCCCTGATTTGCTTTCTCCTCCAATTCTCATCAAGCCCTTGCTGATCTCTGGCAGACATCCTGCAGCCCCTCCTAGGGCTTCCACAGCCCCCTAGCACAGCACGCTGTCTGTAGGAAGGGCTGTGTTTGGGTTGAACCCAGCCACCCCTCTCCTTAGGAAGCCCCTGTGGCACCTTTGTTTTGGCTTTTTATCTCTAGGTCGACCTCTGAATCATCTCACAGTCTGATTCTCAACTCTGCCAACTGAACTGAGCCTTGGTGTCTGCCCCCTTGAAGCAGGCCTGGGGGCAGCAGGGGTCTGCTGGGATCAGCTGATAAGCAGTGGCATTTCTCTCTGCTCACAGGGGCTCTCTTGAAGGGCAAGTCATCATCATCTTGGAGATCCCAGGCTTTTGCTTGCAGGAGGTTCATCATGGCCTCACTTTCTCATCACAAAACCTCTCCAGCTTCAAGGGCCAGGCCCCCTAGTCTACTGGGAGCAGATGCACATCCTGACACACACCTCTGAGCCTGTCAGGCTGGGCTGTTAAGTACAGACTCTGGACTGGAACTCCCTGGGTTGGAATCGTGCCTCTTCCACTTATTATTGGGAAAGTCTAGAAAAATCCCTTGGTTTTTTTGTGCTTCGGTTTCCTCATCTGCAATGCGGGAATTCTAAGTGTCTGTCTCCTAGGATTGTCATGAGGACAAAATGACTCAACACAAAAGGATGCTTAGAACAATGCCTGGCCCATCCAGTGTCCTCTATATATGCTCCAGGTATATCAGCCCCCACGTGTGCCCCATGCTCATTCTGGAGGTGGCCCCTGCCCACCTGAGCCATATCACTCGATCTTGCTTTGGTTCTTCCCTAAAATTGGCAAGTGGCTCTGGCAGGGCAAGTACCTGATGGCAAGACGTGCTCTGGCTGCAGAGCCTGGCCAGAAGTCAGAGGTCAGGAAGAGAAGACTGCGTGGGGACTTTTGGAGTTTCAATGTGTTTTACTAGTGTGTTTTAGTGTGTTTTGGAGTTTTACACCCAAAAGCAGGTATAGAGAAGAACAGGAAGACCCGGAGGATTCCAAATCTGTCCCGGTTTCCGCACCTATCACACAGAGCCAGGTTCATAATACACTCACCCCTCCCTGCACTGCTCCGTTCCTTTGCCCCAGAGATTCCCTGTGTCCTGGCACAGCTGAGTATTCCACCTTGAGGCTACCATGCAGCAGTTGGCCAGAACATGGCTTTTAAAAAAATGATCCAAATATCACTGCAACCTCAATTATTCCAGAGATGCTCTGCCCCCCTGGAGTATTCTGGTGTCCCAGAACAGTTACATGTTCCACCTTGAGGCTACCACTCAGAAGTTGACCAGAACATGACATTTTTGAAAAAAATCCAAATATCCCAGCAACCCCAATTATTCCATGAGATTATGAGCTCTGCCTCCTCCTTCAAAGGTGATTCCAACTCTTCTAGAATTTCTTGAGTTTTCCCTCCTAATCCCTCCTTTTCAATTTTTTTTTAGTGTACAATCTATACTTTTTCTTTTTTTTGTTTTAGAGATGGGATTTCAGTATGTTGCTCAGGCTAGTCTCAAGCTCCTGGGCTCCAGCGATCTTCCTGCCTCAACCTCCCAAATAGCTGGGACTACAGGCACATGCCACCATGCCAGCTGTCTTTTTCTTAATACTGTAAATTCATATGGCATAAAATTCACCATCAATTTTTTTATTGCACTGATAGAAAGGCTTTGAATTGTTCTGGAAATGTTAGGGAATTAGATAGCCAGAATGCTTGCATAACATAGTAAATATACTAAAGTCCACTGGAAAAAAATTAATTGACACATAATAACTGTACATACATACAGCATGTAATAATCAAATCAGAGTAGTAAGCATTACTATCATCTCGAGCATTCATTGTTTCTTTGTGGTGAGAACATTCAAGATCCTTTCTTCTAGCTCTTTTGAAATATACCATCCAATATTGTTAGCTCTAACCATCTTTCTGTGCAATAGCACACCAGAACTTATTTCTCTTATTTAACTGAGACACTGTAGTACTAACTAGTCTCTCCCCATCCACCCTTCTCACTCCCTTCCCCAGCCTCTGGTAACCACTATTTTACTCTCTACTTCTAAGAGGTCAGCTTTTTCAGATTCTGCATATGAGCAAATTCACCATTTTAAAGTATGCAGCTGAGTGACATTAAGCACACTCACAATGCTGCACACTGTGCAAACTATCACCACTGTTTAGTTCCAGAACATTTCGTCACTCCCAAAGAGATCCCCGTACACATGAGGCAGGCACCTTCCATTCCCCCATTAGTCGGCTAGGGCTGCCATAGCAAAAGACCTGAGACTTGGTGGCTTAAACAAAAGGCATTTATTTCTCTTTAACATATGCATTTTGGGGACCCTAGCTTCCAGCAACCACATATCTGCTTTCTGCCTCTATGGATTTGCCTATTCTGTATATTTCATATAAACAACATCACACAATAAGGGGTCCTTCCCTAAACTCTTAACCCCATGTGTCTATTCTGTAGAAACAAGGAGGCTGACCTTTCTTGCAGTACTTTTTGTTTGGCGGGGTCTGCCAGGCCCTTGGTCTACATCCAGCCCAGTTCTGAGCCCTAGGTCTGAGGGTGAGCCTCCCAGCCTAAGAAGTCAATGACCATTTGTGAATACCTGTTATGTACTAACTGTTTCACCCAGGTTTTCTTGTCAAATCCTCGGCACACCCCCACAGGAAGAATTATTACTCTTTGTATTAGTCTGCAAGGGCTGCAGAATAAAGTCGCCAAAACTGGGGTCCTGAAACAACAGAAATGTATTGGCTCCTAGTTCTGGAGGCTGGAAGTCTGGGATTAGGGTGTCAGCAGGATTGGTTCCTTCTGAGGGCTCGGAGGGAGAATCTGTTCCAGGGCTCGCTCTTAGCTTCTGGTGGTTGACTGGCAGTCTTTGGGGTTCCTTGGCTTGTAGATGCACCATCACCCCAGTCTCTGCCTTCAGCGTCACAGTACGTTAGCCCTGTGTGCGTTTCTGCCTCTGTGTCCAAATTTCCCCTTTTTATAAGGACACCAGGTATTGGAGGAGGGCCCACCCTAGTGAATTCATCTTAACTTGATCATCTGCAAAGACCTTATTTCTAAAGAAGGTCACCTTCATAGGAACTGGCAGCCAGTACTTCAACATCATTGTGGG